AAGAAATGTTTGTAGTAGGAGGAAATGTGGTCACTATGTCCTCCAGCAGTCTGAGCGTATAGGAGCATAACTAAAAGGATGAGCCAGGAAACCACATTGATGTTGATGATCAGAACCTTCACCTCCTCTTCTTCGTCATCTTTCTCCTGTTCCTGCAGGAATGGAGGTGCAGCGGCCGAAGCGTCAGGTGTCCAGTGAGGCGGAAGGTGAAGGCTTGTCTAGTAGTGCTGGAACAGCAGAAAGCCCAGATCTCTACACGAAGAGCGTTGGTTCTGATGACCCCTCTAACGCCACACCAGACCTGAGCCCGCCCTCCTCCTCGCCTCCTCACACGCCACCTCCCCCTGCCAGGCCATCCCAGCGCAGCAAAAGTGCCAGATTCCACCGACAGAGCGCCGTGGACCACAGCGACAGGGGAAAGGATGGGGGAGAGAAGGGAGAGAAAGGTGGAGGAGGCGGAGAAGCTGAGATCCAGGTGTTGATGGAAGGAGGAGGTGAAGGGGGAGTAAAGGGGGAGTATCCGCGGGCCAACAGCTGGAGTGAAGACAAGAGGAGAGGAGTTTTGTCAAAAGGAGGAAGTGGAGTTAGTGGGCGAGAGGCGAGCCGGACCAACGGACACAAACACAGCTCCTCCAATCACAAATCGAGGGAGCACGGCTCGTCCAATCACAGACAACCTAGAGGGGACAGGTGGGTGGAGTCCGGGCACAGGGGCGTGCACGGCAGGGGAGGTCGGCTGCTGGAGCAGGACGAGGAGAAAATTAGCAACTATGAGATGGAGATGAAGCCTTTACAGCCCAGAGACTCCACTACCCACAAGCCCCATGGGCACGGAGAGGAGAGGTCCGGGCACGCTCACGGCGAGGGGCGCTCGCACGGCGGGCAGCGACAGAGACATAAGAACCGGGCCGGGACAGAGGGGGGGAAAGACACGGTGCACACACGGGACAGGTCGGGGGAGAAAATGGATTCACGTCCTCTACGGCGGGACCTCACCCTGTCCCCGCCTCTGAGGTCAACCCCCATCACCCCAGACCGGCAGGACCTCAGCCTCACGCCGAGCAAGGCCAATTCGGTGAGTTCTAAGCCCCGCCCACAACGCCGTCAAGCACAGCTGGCAGTAGTTTTATTCTTGCACACACACGCCTTTACGAATAAAGTTTTATCATCTAAGCTTTTTCAGGCAAACGTGACAACTCAAACTTGTGTGACCTTTGACCTCCCTGTGGAGAAAACGAGAGGTCCCAAGCACATTTCTGGAGATTGAAGGCTCTTAGAAAGTATTTGGTGTTTAGTTCTCTTCTTTTAGCATTTTAAAAACCTTAAAAACAATTAAATAAAACGAACGATGATGATTCACAAACGTGATAAAAGAGTTTTAGGATTTGTTTGAAACCACTTTTGATGTTTTTAGTCCTTTCATCACCAGTTTAGTCCACATGGTGAACCTTATAAATCTGGAGTTTCTCTCACCGCTGTGACAACAGCCACCAGCAGCTGTTTACCTGTCGGGTGGTTCAGTGACCTGGTCTGATCACCTGATCGCCCCTGTGTCTGATGACTGAATGCTGCCGTCTGATTGGTTGGTTAGTTATTTGTGTTAACAAGTGTTTATGAGGGTGGTCCGATCAAAGTGACGTAGGATTCCATAGGAAATATGAAATCAACCTTATGGATGTGTTGGGTTATTTTAACCAGAAGACTGGAACTTTTTATTGCAGGGATTAGATAACAGCTTCGTATTCACTCAGAGACAACAGAAGAGAGAGTCGAGTTTAAAAGTTTAAAGATTTATTACTAAACAAATTAAAACTAGACTAACTTTAACACTAAATGTATGGCGTAACTAAGGTGGATGAGACGGAGAATGGGGTAGTGTGGAATGCTGTTCAGAACCAGCAAATCCGAAGAAGCGATTAGTTCTGATGGGAAATGAAGGTGATGTCTTCGCTCTAAGCTTTGGTTAGGAGATTCATAAACACATTCGACGCCGTTCCGTCGGTCTACATACGCTGGTGGAAGTCCCCGTTAGATCAGGAATGTCGAGGTCCAGCTGGACCCTTTCTGGAACCGAAGCCGGTAGGAAAAGCAGCGGTTGCCGACCAGACCATTCTTTGAGATACTTCCGGGTCACGACAGTTTTGTTGGCATCTAGTGAGACCCAAACCTGGGTCTTGATGGTTCAGCTTTTATTCTGAAAGGAACCGTTGCAGCAGTTGGAACAGCAACAGATTTTATCCAGCTTGTCAATCAATCAAAGACACTATTAATCCCAGAGGGAAATTAGAGTTTCAGTACACACAGTTCAGAGATCAGACATACATGGGCAAGACACATGACAAGTATTGGTGACTGTGGTCATTCGCAACCCTGAGTCGCGCTACCTTAATAGAGATAAGAGGGTAACATGAGGATTGGTTCAGGAGGGAAAAAAAGGCACTTCATTACCCTCCCACCAGGAGGGCAGCTTTGCTCTGCAAAAAAAAACACCTCAACAGATATGCAACAGACTTCAGACAACACAACATAACATGAGACTCCAATAGGAAGGCGGGGGGGGGGGGGGGGGGGGGGATGGGGGGGGGGTTGGGCTGGGATCCTGTTTCCCCCCAGCGAGAGCAGCCATCTACGGCGCTCAGCCACTGTAGCCACAGGTGGGAGGGAGATCTCGGGAGAAGCGCAGAGCATATTGACTCCTGCAGGTTGATGACCTCGCCAGGCTGAAGTCCACCAATCCGAAGGCGCGGGGGGGGGGGGGGGGGGGGGGGGGGGGGGGGTCGGGTTTTCACAGCATCTGTCTGCCTTCCTTCGTGGGGGTTTGTTCCTAGCCGCTCAAGGCTGCTAGGGCGTCACATTCAGATAACAAGAATTTGTTTGGGTCAGGCTGTGATAATTTTCCTCTCTGCCTTCAGTCTTTAAACTGATCATTCCAGTCCTTCAGTGAAGCCAATTTTGGGTTTTAAGCTTGTCCACACCGTCCGGTGACTCTCTCCGAGATGACATCCATTTTGCGCACTAATACCGGTATCACAGCTAGAACATTGTCCAGGTTACGATTCACCTTGAGTAACGTCCCCGTCTGACAAGTCTCCACACGGACGGTGCTTTCCGTGGGTGCAGGTCGCCCTCCAATCGCTCCCGTCTTCCCAAATTTCCAGAGAACCAGATATCCTCCCACTCCAATCAGGAGAAATCCAGTGATCATCAAGCCGAATATCCACATGTCTTCGACATCCTCAATGGACAGCTGAGAGAGGCATACGATCTTCCATTCCCTCCAGGAATCCAGCATATATCTCACCGGGTGTGTCCCGTGTGGACATGTGGGAGCCCCCTGCTCCGTTCTCATTGTTGAAAAAATCTTATCGATCGCCTTGAATGACCAATTTATCAAATCCATGGTTAAAAATAGGGTTTTTCAGAAGAAATGCAGAGAAGCGCTCTGTGGGCAGACAGGACAAAAGAGCCTTGGGAAAAAAATATAAGGGAGCAAAAAGAGAAGCGTCTGTACTCCGCGAGTGCCAGGAAGAAATAGTTGGTTCTTTTGGTTGAAGAGGAAAGTTACGGATTGGCCACTCCGACAACTTCTCTAGAACGCTTTGAACTGGCGTTAAAGATGACGTGGGCATAGTTTTATTCTTTGGATGTTTTGGTTTATGGTCGAATGAAAAGATGACAGATTTACCAAACACCACCGAAACCACGCCTCCGTCAGATCTGGCAAATTCTGATTGGATCAGTAAAGCAACGTGTCATGTCTTAACGCTACGTGAGATCAGTCCTAGTGGAACATTTAAAGTCATATTACTTATTATATTCTATAGAATTATAATAAAGTAATTAATATTTTGATTTCACAGATTGGTCACATCTTATTATTGACTAACACTTTGTTTGATTAGTTTTATTAAAATAGAGTTCTTTGATTTATTAAAAGGAGAGAGTCCTTTCTTCATTCTTCTCTTGAGCTGGAAAGAAGCAGTTTATAGCAAATGCATGAGACCTTGAGGCCATATGTCATGCAGACTAGTTCTGTGTCAGAGGAGAGGGGGAGAATGACTTTTGGTGGAAAACAGTCATTTCATACCATTACAAAAGTTAGACAACATTTACTGTTAAAAAAAAAACAATTTCTTGATTTTATTTTAGCTCCTCAAAGGTCCAGCTTCCTAAGATGGAGCAGCTGATTGGTCAAAAATGTCTTAAAGGTTTGTTTTTTGAGTTCTTCAAGAGACGTTTATGATGAATAAATCAAACAACACCTTAGCTACACATATGTTTTTATTTTAGACAGTTTAGGATCAGCATTTTTAATCAAAAAGAAATGTTACCTTTAGTTTGGATTTAGAGTTTTATAACAGAATGTAGAAAAACGCTTTTAAAATACCGAAAAGAAGCAACCTAATTAACCAAGTTGCTCATTTCCCCCTGAATCGATAGCCACGATCGGAGTATTGATTATTGCAGCTTTACACTATTGAGCGTTTTATGTCTTCATGGCTTCATAACTGGTCAGCAGCTGTATGGTACATTTGTCACGTTACCACTACGCATCGATTTGACTAAAAGGATTTGTTAGCCGCTGTCATGAGGATACATCCCGTCCACTGTGACATAACACAGCGTTATCCTGCATATTAAGATAATCCTGTGGGAGAAGCTACGAGTTCACCCTTGTAAAATAAAAGATGCTTTATGCCGTGAGTGAGCCGCAGGGATTACACTGTTGTAATATGATTTATTTTTTAGGGAGTGATGTCGTAACTCGGCTTGGTGGATGGCCCTGACCGCGCTAATCCTGGATGATAATATGGTAGCAGCATTAGCTAATGAAACCAACAGGAAAACCAGTTTGGAAACAAGCTCATTAAACTCCTCAGTTCTAAAACAGATTTCTCACTTTGGTTTGTCTGCAGCGGTTTGATGGAGGAGGGGCCGAAGTGTGTGAAAAACACACACGCAGACATGTACAGTACACAGATCCATGTGCAGAAGCCCAGCAGTCCTCTCTGCACCTTAGTAACAACAGAAAGAAGAGCTAGCCCCTTCCTCACAGAGAGCCCCCTATTGGTTAACCAGCGCTCTGTTGCTAGGGAACAGCGTATGCCTTGCATCAACTGCAGCCAATCGGTGTGTCAGGGATGCTGGAAGGAGGGGTGGGTGTGCTTGTGTGTGTGTGTGTGTGTGTGTGTGTGTGCTTGTGTGTGTGTGTGTGTGTGTGTGTGTGTGTGTGTGTGTGTGTGTGTGTGTGTGTGTTTGCATCAGCAGAGAAGTAAGTGAGATTTGTGTAAAACAGGTTCACAGAATACACAGATACTATCTCGCTCACATGAATACACACCGAGCGCCATGGGAACAACCGCCGAGGCTGCTCCGACTCGCAGACGAGGAGCGGCACACGTCTTCAACCAGTCAGTAAATGAACACCGGTGTCCTGGAGTCAGCTTCAAACAGAAACCTGCATTAGAAAGATAAACGAAAGCGTTGCATGAAGCTTTGATAGGAGATCAAGCCTCAGCTCCGCATCCAGAGACATCACCGATGTCCTTCCTAAAGGTGCGAACTGACAATTCCCCAGACAACCACGTCTTCCCATGTCCATGGCAACCACAACAGCAGGAGAGCACAAACGATTCTGGAATAGAAACAAAATCCCCAAATAAAGAGGGGATCTGCAGAGGAACGGGAGGATAAAAATATCCTGGAAACGTCCATCGTATAAACATCATCTACAGGTGTCAACGTTAAAAGGCAACGTATTTACAGAGTGTGTGTGACACACGTGCAGCAGAAGAGAGTTTGAACTGGTGTGTGTTTAGATAATCTTCCGTGGAGTCCTGATCCCGGTCAGCATTCCCGGGTGGGCCACTGAAGGAAGGATCAGCTCAGTTGTCAAGCCTGGAAATGATAAAAGCTCCGTACTTGTCTGTGAGAGGGAGATAAGCTGGTGTGTTTGAAGCATTATTCATCATGATAAAAGGAACTCTTGGTGATATTTTCTATTTGTGCTTCAAATTTCTGATGAGGATCAAAGCGCACACAAAGGCGACAAGCTGGAGGCGTTTTATCGTGCAA